TCGGGTACGTACCCTTACGCGTGGTGGGGTCTTATCCAAGCTTTCTGGACCCTGCAAGTGTGCCATGGATGTCGCTACCAGAATGAGTTTTCGTTTTACCACACGATGTCTACTTCACCGTGCAATGCAGCCATGTGCATAAGATGCGCGAGCCACTACGACACCGACTAGCGTTCAACGCACATGCAAACAACAATGATGTTTGTTGTAACGCAATGCGAGCAAGTCCATGCACTGGCTATGATAAACTGCAGCTCGAGCAATTTCAGCCGAAGCTGGGCGATATCGCGACGCCGCCATTGTATGGCGGCGTTACGAATTTACTTATTGTTTCCTAGCGGATTGCCAAACGATCATCGTAATTTCCCATGTGGCTGCAGCACAGATGATTTTGGCCCGCACCGATTCCTGTTAATGTCGGCGATGCAGGTTGTAAACAATTCCTCGAGTGGCGGGTTGCGAGATGATTCCGTATGTGGTGGCCTACACATCGATTTCTTTATGTGGCGGCCTCACGCATAGATTCATTTCGCAGCGGTTTGCGAGCTGATCATTGCGTTAGCGGTCTACACATATGATTACGTGTTCATGGCGGCCCTGTAAGTAACTCACTGTATGTCAATGTTTGTTCAAAAAATCCTCATGTGTGCAGTCAGGTATCCTGGCGTGGCAGCCGTACAAACACACTTGTCCTGTGGTGGTCCACAGACATAGATACTTGGTGGCGGCGTTCTGTGCTGATTTCGTTTTTGGCGGATTGCGCATTGTTTCCTTGTGTGGGAGCCTGACCTATTCAGTAATTGTGCGGCGGCCTTACGACTTGACTAATTCTGCGGCGCATTACAAACTGAGTGTTCTTGTGGTCACCTAAAATATCGATATCATAGCGCGGCGGCCTCGCAATTATATTTGTCGCCTGGTCGCACACCTCGATTCCTTTTGGTGGTGGCATCGATTGGTGTCCTTAACCCAGGTCATCAATATTGCATCCTTATGTGGCGGACTACACCTGGATGACGTTGAAAGCAGCTCACCGTGTAAGGTCCACTATGCAAAAGCCTTGGACATACATTTCGAAGCTTCTCGAGCGCGGCGCGGCAAGCGAAAGTCGCTAATGATGGACCGACGAGGCAGGGATGCAAGGGTACCACCGGGCAGGTTGTCCATCCTTACTATGCGGGTTGACTGTACTGCTCCGCTGCGCACCCCTCCCCGACCATGCATACGCAGCCTTCAAGTCGTATCGCTATCAGTATCCCCTCCTCTTCCCTGTTCCCTCCACCGTCGTTTCATCTTGTTATAAAATTCCCGTCCTCCTCCTCCTCCTCCTCCTCCTCCTCCTCCTCCTCTACCGCCTCCTGAAGTCAGGTTCGTTCTGGCCAAGCGTGCTCGCTGGCGCCGCCGCGCGCGCCTCCCGCCTCCCGCCTCGCGCCGCGCACGCCCGCACCGACCTGTCCGCTCGGCGCCTCGCGCGCCGAGCGGAGGCTGAGGAGGGGCAGCGGTGGCCCCCTTCCTCCGGCGCCCGCGCTGCGGCTGACGCTGCACGCGGGGCGCTCCTGAAGGCGCACGCAGCCAGCGGCCCCGCGGCGAGCCGCTCCAGGAATGGAGCGCGCTTGCTGCGGGCCGCGGCGGGGCTGCTCCAAGCCGCCATCGCCGAGCTCGGCAAGGCGGCGACTTCGACGCCCGCGCAGGCCCATGCCGATGCCGCTGCGCCCCCTCGGAGGCGAAAGCGGCCGCGCGGGCGGCGCGCGCGGCGCGGCGCAGCTGGCGGGCCGCCCTCTGGCGACGGCGCGAGCGCGGAGCAGAAGGGGCAGCAAGAGGGGGGCGCTGGCGCGGCGAAGCCTGCGCCGAGAGGCGGCTCGGCCCGCCGATCGATCAAGGCGGCTGGGCACACGCGGCCCATGGCAGGGACGCGGCTGCCTGCTCGGAGGAAATGGCTGGTGCCATGGGACTCGATCGTAAGCGTGCTGCTGCTACTGAGCCGGACTTTGCGGGAGCCTCGTGCCGTGCCGCGGGCAGCGGGCTCAGTCTCGAGCAATACGGCCTCTTCGTCACGGCGGCATGGGCAAGCCCGCCGTGAGTGTCTGGCACGCGCTCGTGCTGGACTTCGGACGGGACGCTCGTCGCCTTCGGCTTCAGCTTCGCCGTGCACTTCAATATCTGAGGTGCTGCGCGGATGGCCTGTGCCGTCCGTCGGGGCCATGAAACCAAGACCGCCACACCGTCGTTGTTTCTTCTTCTTCTACAGCCTCATGCCCTTCACATGTCCATTATCTTATCTCCTCCCTCTTAACCTTCCGATTCTGGTCTCTAGAGGCCCATAACCTCCCACGACGCGTCCCTCCTCCTCCTCCTCCTCATCCTCCTCCTCCTCTCCTGCTGTGTTGTCCTCCTTTGTTTGTTTCCTATCCTCCTCCTGGGTTCCACTGATATGTTTCCTGGCAGGTCGCAGATCAACTCCTCTCGTGGCGGCCCCACGAATTGATTCATCCGGTGACACATTCCATCAATAGTCCTTCCTTGGCGGATTACAAATTGACCCATGTTGAGGTGGATCACATGTTGGCTTGTTGAGGGTTGCAAGATGGCTCCTTCCGTGGCGGATTGCACATCGGCTCCAACTGTGGCGGATGACGACGGATACCTCTCTGTGGTTGATCGCATGCGTTTCCCTTGTGCAGCGGGTTACAAAATGAGCATTCCCGTTGCGGGTTACACATTCGTTTGTGGCGGATCACAAGTTGACTGCAAGTATGGCACATTGCAAGTTGATTTCTTCTGTGGCGCGTTACACATAAAACGCTGTCCTGGCGAATGGCACCTCGATTCGTTTGCGCGGTAGGTTGCACGTCGATTCTTACTGCAGCGGCCTCACAAGCAAATTCCTTTTGGAATAAAGCACGAATGTGTTATGATTGTGGCGGGTTGCACACCAACTCCTTTGCCAGCGACCTTACACATTGATCACGTTTGCGGCGGAGTGTACATGCATCTTATGTGGCGTAATATAATTTGATTCCTTGTGTGGTGGGTTACAAAATTATGTTTTTTTCAACCTTACACATCGATTCCCTTCGACGCGGCCACGGCTTCAATCACATGTCCTTTTGTTGCGGCCGTGCAAAAGGATTCCCCGTGAGGCGGCGTTAGAGAAGGGTCCTTGTGTGAAGGATGTACGGGGGAAGAAAAACAGAATATAGAAGAAGCAGAAAGCACGGAAGCCACAGAAAACTGTGAAACTAGATCTTGTGCCAAGAGCAACTGTGGGAACACAGCTTGTTCAGCACTCGGAGCTCCAGGAGACGCTTCAGTTTACATTAGTGGTGGCGCCAGGCGCTCTTGGATAATAATGTAAACACAGCGCTGCGGCCTTGCAACAAGATTCCTGTGTTGCGGATGTACGAAATGACTCCCATGGTGGCGGCCTTACAGAAGAGTTCCGTTGTTTTGGTGGCGGCTGTGCAAAAAAAGTTTCCCCCTGTGGTCGCCTTACACAACAATTTCTCGTGTGAGGGATGAACTGGAGAACCAAAGGAACGATTCAAACTCTTGCGAATTCACTCACATGGGTGTCGGAAGCTGAGGAAACAATGCAACGCATAACGTTTTCAGCAATCGAAGCTCCAAACCATTCCCAGTTAACATGTGTTTGGCCTCGGACGTTGGGAACCAAATTAGAACACAACTATTGAGGCTCGGAGTGCAGAAACCGAAGACATCATGAACAACAGCGGTTTGCAGCTCCGAGTTCTCAAAACTATTGCTCCCATAACTGCTTGCAGCCTTCCTGCACCACACTCGTGGAAGACACCGAACTGTTCAGAGTTTGTGAATCCCTGTCTTGGTCTAGTCCTCTTCCTGATTTCCTCTTATTTCCTTCACAGAAGACAATCCTTGTGCAAAGCAGTCAAATCGCGGCAAACAAACTCTTCTTTAAGGCCGCCACAGAAGGGCATCCTTTTGCAAAACCGCCACATAACGAATCCGTGTGTAAGCTCGCAACGCTGTGTCTTACGATCCTTCCTAACGCCCGACACAAGAAAACTTGTAAACCACAGCGTGCGAGGGCTCCGAATGCTGTAAACGCTGTGCTTTCCTCGGCACCCGGTGCCAAAATGCTAGCAACAGAAATGTACAAGTTGTGTGTGTGTGTGTGTTGATATGTCTTGTTGCTGCTGTGTCCTCCTGATTTCCTCGTACACCCCTCACACAAAGGAATCCGTTTGCAAGGCCGCAACACAAGGAACCCTTTCGAAAATCCGCCACCCAAGGAACTCCCTCGTAAGGCCGACGCATAGGGAATCATCCTGTAAAGCCGCAACAAGAAAGAATAGTATTGCAAAACCGCCACACAACAATCGTTTGTGTGAGGCTGCCACGGGGGGGAGCGACGACGACGACGAGCAAGAACAAGCGATGAAACCCTCGCAAGAATGCTTGCGTGGCCGTTTGCAAAGTAAAATGGGAAACTGCATGCTCCAGGGCACTTGGAAAAGACCCTTACGGGGGGCGGGGAGGGGCGACCCCCCGCAACTGACATTACAGGCTCAACAACCATAAGCAAGATCGAAACCTTCGCGACAAGGTAACCTCAGGAGAACGCAAGGGGACCCAACAACGGGGCAAGAGGGGCCTACGACGAACTCGGAATCCCCGGGAAGAGCCCAAGGAGCCCCGAGAGGCGGCCAAGACGGCCCACGGGTGGTCTAGACGGCCACGAAGGTCCCTCAAGAGGACTACTAGACGCTGAGAGATACGAGTCTTTGCAACACCTGCCTCCCCCATCCACCCTCTCGCGTTCCATCTCCCGCATGATTATCCTCCCCATCCTCCTCCTCCTCCTCCTCCTCGTCCTCCCCCTCCTCGCCCACACACCCATCGTTTTATCACTCCGTCTCCCCTTCCGCATCCTCATCACCGTCATCCCTCCTGATCAGTCTCCCCCGTTGTCCTCCATAATTGCAGGGGGCACCGACTACATATGCGGATGAGCCGTCGGCATATGCATCGATCTCCTGCTGAATTATCTCACGCCGCTCCTGGATGCACCTCCTGACCTCTCCCTCGATCTGCTTCAAAGTCTCCCTTGATTTCTCCAGCTCCGAGTCGAAGTTCTTGATCAGCTTGGTGAACGACTGGTGCTTGTCCTGTAGCTGCCTCGCGAGCCCTCGAAGCGTGGTGATCATGCGGCACACCGAGTCACGCTCCTCTTGGGCCACCAGATCATATCGACTCCTCCGCTGCCGCAGCCTCCCTACCCATCCTTTCGCCGTCACCCCCTAACCAAGAAGAGCATCACGCAGCTCGGGCAATACATTTTCAGATGCAAGGAAAGGCGCGCGATAACATCACGGTGCGGCCTCGTTCAGCAGTGCAAGATTCGACCAGCCCTCTGAAGAGAAAGAGAACTAGAGTGGTGTCACCGATTATTCACTGCTTTAAACCCGCCGACCCTTCGGTCTGTGGAAAATGCTGTCGTCGTCCTCGTCCTCCTCCTCCTCCTCCTCCTCCTCCTCCTCCTCCCCTCCAGCGCGCCAGCCACATCGAAATCGAACCGAAACCTCAAGTGCGCCAGCGCAAGGGGGGGGTAGGGGGGGGTGGAGGGGGGTGTCCCGAATCAGAATACCATCCTCCCCTGAGGTTCCTGGGGCCCATGAAGGACCCAAGACCTGAGGTTTTTGAGCAAGAGACCCCCAAACGGCTCCCAAAAGGCCCCCAAAATGCTCCCAAGAGGCCTACGAGCGCGCTCCGACGAGACCCCACGAAGCATCCTTGAGGACTCTGCCCCACGTCAGCGTTGTCATCGCCGCCACCGCCGCCGTCGTCGTCCCCCTTCAGGGTCGGCGGCTCCGGCCGTAAGGCCTTCCCAATATGTCCCTCAGGGTTTCGCGCACCTCTGCTGACTTCCGCCAAATGCAAGAGGTACCCCCCTCTCTCCCTCGAAGAGTGGGCCCTGTCTGGAACGGCCCGTGTGCATATGATCTGGCTCACGCATCTCCCCTCCTCCTTCTCCTACTCCTCTTCGTCCTGCTGCTGCCTCCGCGTAGCGAGAGGCCTCCCAGCTTGGAGGCAACTCCTGGGAAGTCTTCGCAAGAACGTTGAAAAGCAATTAGTCCCGATGAGTGGGCCAATAAGCCAAATTAGATCGGACTAAACCTGGGATCAAACCCAATCGAACCGGATTGAGCAGGATCAAGCCGGATGAAACGGGGTGATGCTGGACAACGCCAGTACTCAACCAGGGACATGCCAGCGCCGATGCTGAACTTGACCTCCCAGGAGTTGTGTCCTGATTGTCGGGGGGCCCTCACGCCAAGGAGGGAGGAGGAAGGTCTAGGAGGAGCATGCCTCCGAGAAGCCCCCGCAGGGCCCCCCAGGAGGACCCTCGAAGAGGCGCGGCACTGCTCCTGGGCTGGCTGGCGGGGACACGCGAGGGGGAATGATTCTACACGAATGGTGCAAAACGTCTTATTGAGGGGGGGGGGTAAGGCACCTTACATGACCTAGGTGCATGTGGCACGGTCGCTACTAGACCCACCCGACGACGCAATACCCGCCCAGCGTCGGGGGGCGATGGAAAGTACATCACATGACCTAAGACCACGTGTCATGGTCGCTGCTAGTCCCACAAAACGCGATGTCCGGTTGGCGCAGCCGAATCAACGCTGGGCGAATGACATGCCGACCTCACGAACATTCCGTTGATTGTCTGGCTACACTTCGAACGCTTAACCAGCTGTGCTGCCGCCATGCTCAGGAATGGGAAACCTACATGTCACCTGACCTTCAGCTCATGTTCAGCCTCCTTTGTGGCCGTCGTCGCCTGGCCCCTCTCCTTCAATAACTGTACCACCCGCTCGCATTCCTCAAACCTCTCAAACCACACACACACACACACGGACACATACGTCTCGAAGCCAAGAGGCGGCACTACCCTTGGGGTTACGCGCAAAATGCACGCAGCTCCTTCTCCACGAGGCCTGACGCAGGCAACTGGTAGCTGTGATTCTCGTGATCAGCCAAGATGCACTCGCGACAGCACATCACACTGCAATCCAGACAGAAGAATTCGTGCGGAAGGCCCTGGTGGATGGGGCACGTGGCCGCTCTGTGCATGTTGATCTCCTTCCGTTCCCGCAGGGTGATGAGGGAGTGCATGATGGTGGTCTTGGCGCGCCTGTGGTGCTCGCTGCACTCACTGCACAAGCTGCGGACGCACTGCCTCAGCAGACGCATGCTCATCGGGCTGATCGGTGGGGCAATCTCGGCGGGGCTCGCTGCCAGACCCGCAAGCTGGAAACTGAGTGAGGCACCAATTTTCCTGTGCCCAGCGCGCCCTTCGAAGACTGGGGGGGGGAGGAGGGGTGGGGGGGGGGGGGGGGGCGGCAACGAAGACGAAGGGGAGCAGCACGACGACGACGGGGAAGGAAGCAAAGAAGACGGAACAAACATCATCCGCAAAAAGATGAAGGTGGCGCCCACGAGGCGCTCACGGGTGGATGAGCAGGATCGGTCGGTTAGGTCGTCAGTTGTCGTCCACCAAGCTACCTGCAATAAACTAAGCGCAACGCTCGCAGTAGTAGACTGCGTCGGCGCTCTCCACGCACTCCTCGCAGGCGATCCTCTTCTGCTGCTCGCAGGTGAGGTAGTCAATACCCTGGTGTTCGGCGAAGTTGCAGAGGTACCTGTCGTAGTTGCGCTCGAGGGTGATCGCGTCGCAGATCGGGCACAAGACCTCCTCCAATCAGGGAGGGAGGGAGGTACCCATGCGAGCAACACAAAACACCACTCTGGTCAGCTGAACCCGAAAGCACTTCACAGTGCACCGACCCACACCTGAAACCCGAGCCACAGCAGAAGAGCACAGGAGACGAACGGGCCAAACGTGCGAGCTCGGTCAACAGCACAGCTGTGAGCGGTGCTGCAGCCCCCTCTTTGCACAGGCCCCCCTCCAGCCAATGACACTGACGAGGCCACGAATCGAAACCGCAGGGTCGGAGCAGCTCGGTCGATCTTAGCATGGCTGTGGGAGGACGCCCCCTTCGTTACAATACTCGTCGGACAAGTTTGGCGCCTGCCTGGGGGGATGCTAGCTGGCGACCTGCCGACCCCAGAGGCAGTCAGCAAGTGACACGCTTCGCATTATGCAGACATGATCGTGGGGCGGACCAACATCGAGCAGAACCGTAATCGCCAGAGAAAACACAGTCGACCACATCGGATTGTGGACAGCCTTTGAGATGAGGGGGGCGCAGAACGACAAGGAGGAGCAGCAGCGGAAGCTGAAAAGAAGAAAGGGGGAGGACGACGATGACCAGGATGACGAGGCGGACGACAGGCAGGAGAAAGGGGAGGACCAAAATGAACCCATAATGCATCAACTACAGTGCAGTACACCGGGACCGACCCCTCGAATGACGAGCGCCCCATGGGCCTGACATTCAGGGACGAGCAACGCTTTCAAAATACCCGCCCTCTATTCTGGTAGGTAAAAAATGTCAGCATTCTAGGCCACAATATTCAATGGATTGCCCCCCAACTATCTTCACAGATTGGCACACCATCGCACGCGCACGCAGACACACACACACACACATACCCGCTGGAGGTTACAGGGGAGAAGGAAAGAAGACGTGGGGAGGCGGGGGGGAGGGAAGATAGGAGGAGAAGGACTCATCCCATTCACCCTTCTTCCCCTCCAACCCCTCCCTGCTTCCTCCCCTTGCCTCCGAGTCCTTCCTTGCCTCCTCCTGCTCCTCCTCCTTCTCCTCCTCCTCCTCATCATCATCATCATCGCCCGCATCACTGCCTGCCTACATATCCTTCTCCTCTTCCTCGTCCCCTCGCCCAGGACGAGTGGAAGGAGGAGGAGGAGGAGGAGGAGGAGGAGGAGGAGGAGGAGGAGGAGGAGAGGGCGGGGGGGGACGGAATTCCTTGGGTTTTCCTACAGCGAGGAATCCTCCCAAGCCATTTTTGGCTTAAGCCCTTGGGTGTTCCCCGTAGCCATTTTGGCTCAAGCCATTTTGGCTCAAGCATTTCGAGACATTACATCCCTTACATCCCTGCATTCCCTACATCGCCTACATTCCCTTTCTATTACTGCGCAGGTTTCGATTGCTTCTGGGCGCTCGTCCCTCTGGCCATACACGCGAGGATGCCGGCGGAGAAGCACCACATGGGGACTCCAATGAAGGGGGTACTCAAATCAGCAGATAAAGTACCACGCACGGGAAGCTCACCACTCAAAGTTGACGAAGAAGGACCTCGAGCTATCCAAGATCAGTTCCAACATCGTCTTGCAGCAGCTGGGGCGGCGAGCGGCGCCAGTTCAGCAGGGACGCCCGTCACGATGGGGGCCCTCGGCAAGCTCCTGAAGCAGGAGTTGCGGCCGATCCAGGTAGACATCGAGGCCATCAAGGCGCACGGAATCTCTCAGAAGGACCTCCAGGAAGCCGTGGACCCGCTGAAGGCCGCGATGGACGACATCACGAGGAGGGTCGAGGCGCTGGAGACGAACCCGTCCAGGCCAACTTCGGCGAGAAGCGCATCTGCAATGTCTGCGCGATCGGGGGACACGGAGCTCAAAGCCAAGCTCCAGGACCTGGAACGCCAAGTCTCTGAACTCCGGAAGCCGTCGACACTATCGGAGGATACATTGACCTTCGTGCTCGGCGGTTTACCGCACCCTACACTCAAAGAGGCAGAACATTGGGCTCAACAAGCACTGCGGGACGCCAAGATCGACGCCCCTACGAAGATCTACAAGAAGGGGCCGCCAGAGGAAGAGTTCAAAGGCATGATGTTCATCGAGCTCGGCACGGCCACAGCGGCGCAGAAGGCTCAGACACACTTGGAGGACCTCTGCTCCAAAATCGAAAAGCCTAAAGAGGGGAGCCGGCTGGCGTGGTGCAACCTTGATTGCCCTATCGAAGTTCGGGTTGTCAATTCTTTGTTGTTGAGTTTGCGGTACTTGTTGTCGCAATGGGGGTTCGACAAGAAATACTTCAAAGTTGACACAGACACCAGGATCTTAAAAGCAGGTGGGAAAACGGTCATGACGGCAAAAATTGTCAACAATGACCTTACCATTCAATGGACTGATCCGGATTGGGCTACTTGGGAAGAGCTGCACAAATGTGGGAAGACATCCAGCAGAAAACAAAAGGCCGCCTCGAGCAGAGCCGGGCTCGAATGATGAGCAAAGGCGCGATGCCATGGGCGCAGGGCCGTTTCACCTTCCGGGACCGCTGCCCTCGGAAGATTACCCAAATCGATTTATCCTTGGAAGGGCGAGCAGGGTAAAGATACCAACTATCCTTCTGGGGCCTCAGCCAGCAGCCACAGTCGGGAACCTCAAGGTCATGTACGCTGTGCCACTTGGAATGTTCGTGGCCTCACCGACCAGAAACTTGTAGAGCTAATTCGTCACATGGAGAAGTACGACATCCATATCTTATGCATGCAGGAAACACGGAAGACGAAAGCTGAAGATTACGACGACGAAAACACAGGGAGCCGCATAATTCTTTCAGGTGCGGATACGGATGGCATGTCGTGGTCTGGGGTTGGCTTCATAGTCTCTCCAAGCCATGCGCCTTTCATCAAATTGTGCAAGCAAATCTCAGACAGAATGGCCCAACTCAAAATCAAGATCGGCAACCGCGTGTTCGGGATCTTCTGCGTGTACGCTCCCAAGACTGGAGAGAAGAGAATTCTGGAGAGCCCTGGACTCCGAGTTCCGGATCTGCTCAGCGACAGCTGGTAAAATCATCATGGGGGACATGAATGCGAGAATCGGGCAGGCGGACATTGGGGAATCAGAAGTTGTAGGGCCATTTACTTGGGGAAGGCGAGCACTCCACCAAGTCGATGTTCCTAATCGAGTTCTGCTGCTTGAGTGTTGCTTTGGATTGGGCCTCCGATTTGCAAACACTTATTTTGACCGGCCCTTGGAACATATCGTCACTTTCATGGAGGCCAGGGCGTTGCCGTTGGGAGACATCACAGTGGATAAGTACAACATGTTGGACCATGTTTTATGCGACGCCGTTACGCTCGGATTGATGCGGTCCTTACGCAGCCATCGCCAAGCAGCTCTCTCGACGGACCACTATTTGGTAATCGTGGATATCGTGCACAGTCATACTGAATCTCCAATTTCGCAGACGCTCCCGAGAGATAGACATCTGCTTCGGGACCCGGAAGTGCAATCAATGTATGCCGACGCATTTTTAGACGAGATCGTCAACAATACCGTTGAAAATCCCGATGTGGATTTGTCATGGGAGCAAGGGGCGAAAGCAGCCTTGGTTGCAGCAGCAGTGGTTCCCAAGAGTCAGGAGGTTTCCAAGCAACCCTGGGTATCCGAGCGCACATTGGAACTAATTCAACTCAGAAGTCAAGCCCGCAACAGCAACGATCGTCTGGAAGAACGCCGTCTCTTAAAAGAAGTTCGAGAATCTTGTAAGCAGGACAAGACAAAGTGGATGGATTCACGTATTGTATTGCCGCCGGTAGCTGGGAGGACATACGGAAGCATTGTCGTCCACGGCAGCGTAAACAAGAAATATTACAAAACCTACAGGGGAGACTTATTGAAAGCCACGAGCGAGCTGATACGATGGCGGATTTTCTCGAACAAGTTCAATGGCGAGTACGTCCGGCAAACTTGGTGGACAATGAACCGTTGGGGCCCGACCTCCCAGTGGACGAATCCCCCTTCACATTAAAAAAGTTGGGAATGGCAATCCGCAAGCTCAAATGGAGGAAAGCGTCGGGACCAGACGACATACCAGCAGAGTATTGGAAAGCAGTGTCGCAAACGCCGGGCGGATTACCATGGATTACAGAGCTGTGTAACGCAACTTGGGCAGGGCAGAAAGTGCCCGAAGCATGGCGGCATGCCAAGATCAGCACGATCTACAAGAACAAAGGGCCTGTCCATCTATGTGAGAACTGCCGGCCAATCAGTTTGCTATGCGTGGCGTACAGGCTGCTGGCCAGCCTCCTCCTACTCCGACTCCAACAGGCAGGAGCAGAAGACCGTTTGTCACAGACGCAGTGCGGCTTCCGACGCAGACGAGGCACCACCGACGCAGTTCACGCAGTGCGCCGTCTCATCAAGCTTGCGCATGCCAAAAAAGATGGTGGTACACGTTCGTTGCCCTGGACTGGAAAAAAACATTCGACTCGATCAACGTCGAGGCTCTGCTGGCTGCTTTGCGCCGGTTCGGGGTGCCCCCCAAAATGCTCGCACTCATTGGAAATATCTACGGTGGACGGCGGTTTTGTGTTGCAGATGGTGCGATAAAGTCATCTGAGCGGGGTGCCCTCTGGGGTGCCCTCTGTCACCATCCCTTTTCGTCATGCTTATGACAGTTCTGGTGCGGGACGCTGTCGCCAAACTCAACTACGAAGAAAAATCCGAAATGTCTGCTGGGAGTTTACAAGTGCTGTTGTACGCCGACGACACTTTACTCATTGGAAGAAACCAAGACAGCCTCAAGCATCGTCTTAATCATATTGCTGCAGCTGGAGCTCAAGTGAGAATGGAATTGCACTGGGACATATTCCAGATGATGCGAATAAATAGTGGTGTGCAATTGCGAACGCCAACAGGACAACTCATGACGGAAAAGGCCAGCCTTACATACTTGGGAGCTACGTTGTATAACAATGGACAGATTAACACAGAACTCAATCGAAGAATTGGCGAAGCGTGGAGTGAATTCGCAAGATACGACAGGGCATGGAAGCACACATCTATTTGCAAGCGGCGGAAGCTGGAACTATTCCAGGCCCTGGTGACATCAAAAATCATGTACTATCTAAATAGAGCTTGGTTGAACAAGGCGGAGAAACGACGGCTCGATGGGTTTCAAGCGCGGTGTCTGCGTAAGATTCTGCACATACCTCCATCTTTCTTGTCACGAATACCAAAAAGCAGCGTTTTGGAGCAAGCTGGACAACTACCTTAAAGCGAACAACTCTTACATCAACAAGTGGTACTTTTTGGGAGGATTGGTCGCGCTCTGGATTCTGATTTCTTACGGCAGCTGACGTTTCAGCCCGGCAGCCTCCGGCCAGCAACGGACGCTCACCCAAGGAAGAGAGGCAGGCCCAAACAAGAATAGGCTAAATGCTTGTATAACTTACTCTCTGCACGTTTCCGTGATGATGAACTGCTCTTGCAATGTTTGTAAGACCCAACTCAGTGCAGAGCAGCGGCAAATGCAATTCTACGCCCTGAAGGGGCAAACGACCATCTGTAACATACTTCTTCCTTTTTAGCGCCCCGTCGCCCTGGCAGGAAACGCACGCAGCACCGTACATGGCGCTCTCCTGGCCCCTTCTTCCTCCTCCTCCTCTTCTTCTACCTCTTTTGCTTTATCCGGCTGCTCGCGGCATTTTCCTTGACCCCGCGTTGAGCTTGCTAGACGCATGTTTTTGCCCACGCGCCTACTGGCGTATGGCTTGTTAGGTTCGGTTCGGAGGAATCCTCCCGGTACCTACACGGCATCGCTTCCACGATGCCTGGGCCTGGGGCAGGGTGGCGGACATCGAACGTCTGCCCAGTGGACTTAGCCACACAATTGGCCACGACTGCAGGAGAGCTGGAGAATGAGAAGGCGGGGGAAGGGGGTGGAAAGGCGAGGGAGAGAGGGCGACAAAGGGCGGCGAGAGGGAGACACGCAACAGATGGAGGGAGAGAAGGGGGAAGAGATAGAGGGAGAGAGGGAGAGAGAGAGAGAGAGTGAGAGAGAGAGACCAAGAAACCGAGAGAGAGAGAGAGACAGACAGAGAGAGAAAAGAATACTCCCCTCCTCCTCGTACGCATCCCCCCTCCGTCTCATCCTCCTCCTCATCATGATTATCACCATCAGCACTATCGTCATACTTCCGGCCCCGACCTCCCCTCATACTCCTGAGTGGGCACAGAGGTGCCACTAGGAGGCTCACTCACTCATAAACACAGACATGTGGATGAAAGCTGGTCAGTCGTCCCTGTCGTGTTGGAGGTACTCCTCCAGGCAGCCACCGCACACTGAGTGAAGGCAGTGAAGGACCTGATTCGGCACGGCCGCTGGAAGGACAGCAGAGCTGGTGCCGAGGGAAGCGTGCCGACGAGCATTGAAATCAACAGAGTAGGAACGGCAATTAGACAGGCTGAACGTAACTTGCATTGCCCCCAAAGGTCGCTCAATGATCTCAATGATCTGGCGTTGGTCGTTCAATGACGAAGGAAGGAACAAGGGACGGTACCCCAATCTCGCGTAGCGGCGCATGGCCACAGATGGTTGACCACAGGTCGATAGTCCAAATCCACGCTCTAAGTTAACACACAACAGATGCTTCTAATGTGGAAGGACATGGCACCTGAAGACAGCAGCCCAGAGGCGCTTAGTTCGACGCATGACGCCTCACATCCTGATAACTGGTCTTATATGTATAAGCCGAATGCCATGGAACAACAATTACCAACCGCCATGTGCGAATTCCGCCGTGAGAAACCACCGCGCAAATGTGCCAGAAAACCCTCTGTGCAACCACACAGCCCGCCTACGCATAATATGAGCAGCATGTCCTCGTCCCTTTTGCTTAGATAGGCTTGGCCCGTACGCCATACCCTGTACAAGCCAAGCACCTGAGGGCAATCGAATGTGCTCTGAAGCCATGCGACTGCTCCCTCAGGCGGGAGCCATGCAAACCTGCGCCGATTCGAATCCTAAAAACAGAATTCGAGAACCCCGCGGGGTAAGAATACCACCCTGGAATAATCACGAGCACGTCCAAACATACAACATGGACCTTCAAACACCCAGAGAACCTTACGTGCGCACGTTCTGCATCGCTGACCTCAAGCAGAGGCCGTCGTTAAGTAGAAAGGAGGGTGGAGAGAAACTAATATATGTCGAGTCGAACCTGGGCAACTAATGCCCGCCTGCTCACAACGCCGCCTGGTGAGACTTGTGATATGGCATGTGTTGCCGGTGGCTGCAGGGGATCGTAAGAACGATTGACAAGTATAAAACCCTATTAAAGCGCCAGTAAGCCGAACTAGCCCGGATGAGGCCCAACACTCAGCAAAATTACATCGGACTGAACGGGATTAAGCCAGAATGGGCAGGAATGTGCAGGAATAGCCGTGTTCGATCACGGATACACAAGCACCGATGTTGAATTCAACCTCCAGGGGGTTGCATCCTGAGTGAACCTCCAGGGGTGTGCATCCTGAGGTGTAGGAAGCGGAGGAAGGGGAGGCGGGAGGACATGGAGGGAGGAGGGAAAAGGAAATGAAGAAAGAGGAAGGATGGAGGGGAGGACGGGGAAAGGTTGAGGAGGAAGGGATGGTGGAGGAAGGTGGAGGAGAAAGAGGAAGGATAATGAGGGGAACAGGAGGGGGAACGGGGGAGAGGGAGAAGGAGGAGGGCGCCTGGCTGCGGCGCGTACCCCCAGGGGGAGAGGGGGGGAGCTCCGGGAGAGCTCTGCCCGCGAGAGCATCCCCTGCCGCCTCCTGCCTGGAAGAAGGAAGGAGGGCGATTCTCGTGGGTCATCCATCATCGAGGCAGCCCTCAGGCCATTGTTTACCTGCGTTGATAGGCGGCGCCCGGGGGGAAATGAGGAGGGGCGGGCCTTCTGAGAAGGCTCGTAAGTTCCCCGGCCTTCTCAGAAGCCTTCTAAGCTTTCCCCGAAAACAACAAAAACCTCAGAAAGCCGGAGGCCTTCTGAGAATTCCCGCCGCCTTCTGAGAAGGCCTTGCGCGCCGCCGAGTTGAGCCCGACGGTCGGGATGACCCGAGCAGCGCGGTAGAAACCGAGAGGCACACAGTCGGACTTGCTGGGACGGGACACGCGAGAGGACACAAGACACTTCCGAGGGCCACATTGCCCCAGGAATGTAGGAGGCATGGGTCGTGAGACACATTGCACAAGGGTACTTTGGAGACCAAGAGGTACCGATACCGGTACTCCCCGAACCTCTCCCGGGGTGCGTTCTGACCAGGATTTCAAGGCGAATCCAGCGGTGGCGACGAGGGCCTCCCAGGAGGCCCCACAAGGGGAAAACGAGGGAAGGGTAGAGGCATGGGTACCTCTTCCTCCTCTGAGGTACCCCCGATTTGGCAGGGTCGACCTACTAATCCGGGCCGCCTGCGGTGGACAGGCAACCACCGAGCCTGAGCGAGCGAGGAGGAGGAGGAGAAGGAGGAGGAGGAGGAGAAGGAGAGAAAGGAGGAGGAGGAGGAGGAGGAGGAGGAGGAGGAGGAGGAGGAGAGGCCCAAAACAGCAGAAGGCAGGAGGGCGGGGGCAGAAGGACGGAGGAGACGAGAACGGCCAGGGGGCCAGGCGGGGGACGGAGCAGGCCCTCCCGGGGAACTCCGTCCGTTAGCCCAGCCTGGAAGGGGAGAGGAAAGAGAAAGGATGTGCAATAAGAGTAACACGGATCCTCTTCAACGGCGAGCAAAGGGGGGGGAAGCGAGAGGGAGACGGCCATCTCGGAAGGCGGCGGGGCTTCTCAGAAGCTCTCGCACCTTCTGGGAAGGTTCCTGTTTCTTCCAGGGAGGCTTAGAGAACTTCTCAGAAGGCCAGACCTTCTGAGAAGGCCTTCTCCTTCTCACTTCCCCTCGAGCTCGCCGCCGACCTTTGGGAGGGGACGTAAGTTAGGAGGGTCAACGGCAACAGTAGGGATAGGGGGTCTTGTTTACAGATATCCCAGACGAAACCACACACAGGTTTAGGGACATCAATAAAAACACGGTCACCTAAGTTGGGCCACGAAATCATTGTGATATTTGGGTTGAGGGTTGTCTTATGCTTAATGAAGAAAAGATATCCTTTTGTGCCAAGATGGCCCGGCGTCTCTTGGTCAGGAACTTCTGCTTAGCGTGTCGCGGCGGCGGCCATAGCGACACGCTGTGTGCTGCAAGCGGATAGCGTGTCGCTCCGTTCCGCGTGGCGAGAGGCTCGGAAAGGCTCGGGATACGGCACGTTAACGCCTGGGGACTGGGACGTGGTTAGCGTGTCGGGCCGAAGAGTGGTGGGCTAGAACTGGCGGAGCGACACGGGAAGTAAAAGTCCCTGACCGTGGCCCCATTGACAAATTGGTTGGCGCCTCGGTGACTCGTTTGAGCCTCTTTGGCGCAATTTTGCAACATCTTGAAAGCCTGTTTGGCGCCACGTTGAGTCTCGGTGGCGTCGCGGCGCCCGTCAAGGACGTCTTGGGTGCCTGGCACATGCACCAGCTGTTTGCGCCTGCCATTTAAACAATTTCTTCAAAGCTACAACATCTGAAATTAGCACGTCCGTTCTGTATGGATCATTCCTTCGAGCTGGTGTTGAACGAGTTTCCTTCCAACACTACATCTGGTGTTTGTTGTCGCTTCGTTCCGAGCGGGAACGCAAGCCTGTGCGAGTGACGACGAGTTCTACAGCTCAGAAAGCAAATCAAGTCTTCACATACCCAGAACTCCAATGTCGTGATTTTCTCACACCATGGGCCCTCAGGTCTCCTAGAGGCCTCGAAGAGTGGGTCCAAGCAATGGGTCGGAGAATCGCGCAGCGTTGCCAATGCATCGCCGATGCATCAGCAAGTTATCGGCGATGCATCGGCGACGCCAGCGCGGATAATATCGGCCCCACACCGAGCCATATCGGCGATGCATCGGCGATGCGGCGCGATACGCCTACCCCGTGTATTCCGATCCCGTCTGAGAGGCCTAAATCTCCACTCCTCCGCTAGGGCCGATTTCTCATCCCGAATCGTTGTCTGACGCGAGAGCTCGGGGCCAGACGTTGTTGTCGTGCCCACATGGGCCCTCCACGGGCAGCAGGACCACCCAAAAGCGACTCAACATAAAGAACTGAACCTCGGAAAAACCCTGAGGCCGGGGACCCGCTTTCCTCCGGACCCCTTGCCCCCCCCCCTTTCCTCATGCTCCCCGCCTACTGTCTACCCCCGGCCCCCCTTCCACCAGCCCCGCCCGCCCCGCCGGCCCCAGCCTCCCGCCTGCGCGTTCGTCGACGTGTGCTTGCCCCTCCCCTCCTCTTACCCACTTCGCAGGGCAGCACAGCCTGCCCGGGACCAGCGTGGCGGCGCGTAGGGCAAGCTGGAGGGCCTGGAGCTACATTTTCCTGTTCTCAGGGCACCTTTGATCAATGGCGGTGACTTGCATCGGCGACACAACTCGTCGACAAGCCCCCCGATCACGAAACGGCAGGCTCTTGGGCATGCTGGTGCGCACGAAAACGGTTCGAGGGAAGCAAAAGAGCAGGAGGAGCAGCAGCACATGAAGAGGAGCGCAGGAGGCGGGGACCCCCCGCCGCGCGCCGCTGGGCCTTAATCTCGCACCTGCCAGACTTGGTGGGCCGCAAGCTGGCGCTCCCCGACTTGCACAGCACGCAGGTGGAGAAGGC